ATAGTTGAGGACAAGTTAATTATGTCAAGATTTGTCGATAATTTTAAAATATTAAGATTGAAATTAGAGTATAATAATATCTATTTAACCTCTAGTCAATCTTAAAAGTCTTACAAGTTGAATTTCATTTCGATGGTCTTTCAAAAAATTTAACTAATGACTTGCTTTCGATGCTACGAGAAAATGTAGGTCAATTATCTTAGTTCAACTTCAAACTTGTTATTTGGTTTCGGCTTTCTAACCCTTACTTGTGTAAAGGGGTGGAAAGTCTGTTCCAACGGTAGATAGTATGATGGATCATCATCCGTCTATAAAATCATAGATTTTGTTCTTCTATATTCCATTTTGTATCCATATCCGATAGAAAACTAAGTCCCAAAGGCGACCATCGATTTACTCTCGCACCTATAACTGTTAATTGGAACTCGACTACTCGACTTTTACCTTTAATTTTAATATAGCTTTTACTTTATTTAAAGAGCAGTTAGTGATGGACTCTTAACGTACTGATGGGTCAATCACAATGTGATATAAAGGATCCAATAATCCTCTGCAGTCACTGGTCTACTATCCATTGCATGCAGCCTTCTATGACCATATTATAGAGAGCATGTTTGGCTAAAGCCTAAAGTGAAGCAAGGTTTTTTTTTAATAAATAAATTGACCGTGTTAAGTGGTACGTTTAGAAAAACAAGACGGTGCCTAAATCGTTGCTTGATGCAGATGATATTGATACAGTATCCAATCCTTGGACATGTCCAAACGCGTGCATTGCATAATCGTATCTCAAGTAAAATTGAGTAACTTTTGTTTTGAACTCGTAACTCTTGGTTGGCCCCTTCAATAGATTGGATGTTGATGTCGGGGTGGGTGGGTGGGGCGGGGGGAGTTCACTTCCTCATTTACCATACAATCTCCAAGCCATGCGTTTTGGGTTAGGAGGGGGTAGTTAGGGAAGAGTATATTGGATAATTATTTATTTTTTTATTTTTATTTTTTTATTTATTTTTAGTTATATTAGCAGGTCAAAGACGTTTTGGAGAATCCAACCATTTACCATGAGTGAGTAGAATATTGCCATGAGTGGCATAATAGTAAATTAAACAAGTTAAATTCTAACTAAGCATATGTTTGGCTAATATTTATAAATTGTTTATAATTGTCAAATCATTTTTCATTTTCACATTACCTATAAATATTATTAAATTATTTATCACTCGTAATTATAAGTTAAACTGTTTACAAACACTTCCTGAAAAAGCTTTATCTGTTTGTCGCGTACATGTCTCTTTTTTTATTCTCATACTTTTCAACCATCTTGACCGTTTAGATACAGTTGCTCATCATAATCCCCTCTAATACGGCACAAATTTGGACTTAGAAATCGAGGGAATGAAGTACAAGGACTTTAAGCAAATTTAGCCTAGAATGAAATCTAAAGAGTGCTCTACTTTAAGCACTCTGAAACAGAGAGCATATATGGCTAGGCCTAAAATAAAGTTAAAAAAAGAAAAAAAAATTATTTGGAGTAATTTTTTGCTCTCAATCAAGTGTTTAAATAACTAGTAGTAAACACTTACGTTGCACATCTTACGTATCAGATGAATGATATATGTAACATTTCTGAAGTATCAATACTGTTTATGCACCAAAAATTTGAACAAATGCACTAAAATGTTTTAATTTACTCAAAGAACCAACCATCCTTATGGATGATGAATCTTTGTCCACTAAAACAAAATAATTAACAAAGTAAAAGGTTAAAAAAAAAAAACCCAAATCTGCAATTACTTGCACAAAATGTCCATACATTTGGTTTTTAGTGTGCAAAACGTCCCTACAGTGCAAAATTTTGCATTTTTTGCCCTTATTTTCACGTTTCATTGTGGAAAACATTATTTTCATCAATGCTTATTCAATTTTTCAATAAAAATATATGAAATGACGAATATACATTCCTATTTAAATTTAAAAAAGAAAAAAAAAAGAATTAATAGTAACCATACTCCCAAACCGTTTTAAAAAGTGCAAATGAATCACAAATAAATTATTTAAAAAATGAAAATAAATCTCTCGCTCCCCCTTCCCCTCCCCCTCTTCCACCTCCGGCAACACAAATGCCGTTAGCCACCAATCGGTAACATCTACTCCCCAAGGCGCTCCCATTAGTGATCATATAACAACAAAACAAGTTCTTTAAGCCTTAACTCTCCAAAATTGACAATCCAAAATTTGAAAAGATAAATCTAATGAGCCGAGCTTCAATGAAATCTATTTGTCTGATTCAAATGGCACAGCAAAATGATTGTTTTGCATCAAACGTCTGGAGTTCACCTTGATTTTTCTCCACCAAAACTGACGAGGCAAGCAAAGATCATAGGCAAGATCCATTTCTTCAAACCCTATCTTGGGGTACATTGAAACTCTAATGCCTGAGATTTTTCGAAACTTCGATTTTTTGAAAATTGTTTATTGTTTTGGAGTATATTGTAGAATTCATGGTCAAATTGTTGGGATATCGATTTGGGGTATAGTGTTGGAAATTGTTTATTCTTCATGATGGTGGTGGTGGTGGAGGATGAGGAGGAGAAGAGAGAAAAAAAATTATTTTGAATTTTTTTAATAATATATTTGATATTCATTGGCACTTTTTTAAAATGGTTAGGGAGTATGGTGCAATTAGTTATTTTTTTCCTTTTGTTTTATACAAATAGGAGGGTACATTCGTCATTTCATATATTTTTATTGAGAAATTGGATAGAAGTTGATGAAAATGATGTTTTCCACGATAAAACGTACAAATAAGGTTGAAAATGCAAAAATTTGAAACGTATGAACGATTTGTACACTAAAGACCAAACGTATGAGCGTTTTATGCTAATAAGCATTTGGTTTATAAAAGCATGTTTCCGTGGGTATAAATTAGGAAAACGAATTCCTATGATTAGGATTAAACACCTTTACCAGGGCCATGGTAATGAAGCAAGGTTATTGAGATTATCTAATAATGATATAGGCTAAATCAATGAAAATTAGGAGAATGGATCAAAATCTTATCCAATTATTGAATTCAAACCCACCAAAGCCTACGCTTCAACGTCTTTAAATATTATTATGTATATCAAATGAATGTAAATATTGGTTTTAATGAAAAAAAAATGAAGAGTCTTTTAAACGTTTGGTGAATTAATGGTAGTGTTTTTAAAAAAAATATGAAAGAACTAAAATTTCGTGCGAACGAATGAACTCAAAGGTTCCATTTGGAATTATCTATATCTATAATATATTAAATATCGAATGAAAGGAGAATCATTTTCTGGACGATTTTAGCCATACTACAATTTAATTAGGGTAATTAGCAGAAATGGTCCCCAACGTTTACACTCTTTGCTAAAATGGTCCCTATCGTTTTAAAATTGACATTTGTACCCTTATTTCAAACGTTTCTTGCGGAATTAGTCATTCCATCCATAAACCGTTAAACATCAGTTAGAACCTTTTGGTAATTTGCACAAAGGGTCCCTATGGAATATAATTTAATATAATTTTGGAACGGCATGCTTCGACGAGTGGTAACTTTCACTACGGTTGGCCTTTTCGCAACGCCATTAGGGATGAGAGAAACTAGGTCATGAACACTTCTAAATGGTATTAAAAATGTAATATTTCAACTTCGTTTGACTTCCCGTAATAATCCCGCAAAATGGAGACAAAAAATAAGAAGCAGGCCGTTCCAAAATATATAAACGATTTTTCTTATTTTTTATCTCTATTTTGCGGGATTATTACGGGAAGT